GTGGAGAGAGGGAGTCGACGACGAGAGTGCAGCGGCGAGGTACCAGCGGAGCGACTACGGAGACGGCCGCTCCAGGGAGACTGCTCACCAGACGTCTCAGCGCCCCCAGGTGCAGCACCCCCAGGCTCAGTACCCCGAGACTCCTCACGCCCAGGCTCAGCACCCCGAGCAGGACCACCCTCAGCAGGACCTGAGTCACCAGTGACCTCAACCGGCGCAGTCAAGGGAGGAGGGTCTACCTGAGACACACCTGAAGGAGCAGGACCGGGAGCGGGGAGGGGGTCTACCTGGGGAGCACCTGGAGCGAGGAAGAGCAGCGGGGGGGGGAGAGGGGCAGTGCGGTAGGGGAAGAGACGGTAAAAGGGAACCGACTCGTCGAACGTGACATCCTGGGAGGGGAAGATACGGCGCGAGGTGGGGTGGTAAAACTGCCAACCAGGCGTGTCAGGGACAAAGCCAAGGAAGACACAGGGAACAGCGCGGGCGGAGAGCTTGTCCGCGGTGGTATCGCGGACAAAGGCACGAGCACCCCAGACCCGGAAACGTGACGCATCGCCAACCTTCCCCGTCCACAGGAGTGTGGGCGAGGTCTCCGGCAAGGAGACACGGGGCCAGAGGTTGAGCTGATGCGCGGCGTACCGGACCGCAAACGGCCACAGAAAATGGGGGGCAGCCGCATGGATCATGGAGGTACGAGCGACCTCTATGACTAAGCCAATGCGACGCTCAGCAACCCCATTCTGCTGCGGAGAGGCCGGAAGCGTGAACGTCTGGCGGATGCCGTGCTCCACACAGAAGGCTGCCAAGAGGTCGGAGGAAAACTCCCCACCTCTGTCAGAGTGCAGACGCAGGACGGGAAACTCCGTCCCGAACCGCTCGCGGAGCTGGAGATGAGCAGCGCGGATCCAAGGGATCAAAACATCAGGGACCTCACCCTTGGTGCGCAAGGGGAAGACCGTGGTGTAACGCGTGTAGTCGTCGACGACCAGCAGGAAGTACCGCTCGTGGCCCTGTCCACGGACGCGGGCTGGGCCCCACACATCCAGGTGGAGAGTCTGCAGGGGAGCCTCTGTGGGAGGGAACGAGGAGGAGTGGAAAGCGGCGCGCTGCCGCCCCTCGACACAGGGAAGACAGGGAGGAGCAGGGGAGGGTGGGAGGGGAGGGAGAACCCTGGGAAGACCAGAGACAAGTACACGGCGTTGCATGCTACGAAGGCGCTGCACCGAGGTGTGACCAAGGCGGTGGTGCCAAAGGAGGGTCTGGTGCGACAAAGCGCGACACGAGCAGGGGACCACTAGCTGACCTGACGCAGACGCAGACGCAGCGACCTGAGGGGACACAGTAGTCAGTGTGTACAAACTCGAGCCAGGCGCACGAGTAAACGTGGCCAGATGCCGGCCCGTCCGGGAGCACGTACAGTGGGTCACGCGCTGACCTCCAGGAGTGAACTGGTCAACCCACTGGTCCTGGAGGTCAGCACCACTCACCAAGTTCGTAGAGAACGAGGGGAGGTGAAGACCTGACAGGGAGCCACGCGGGACCGCCGGACACGGCAGGACCGTGGAGGAATGCGCAAGGACTGGACCCCCAGAGGGGTCTGCCAAGGAGACTGGAACCGGCCGGCTGAGCGGCGTGAGGGTGGTGCTGTCGCGAAAGAAGGAGCGGGAAGCACCTGAGTCAAGTGTGAAGGTGTACAAGGCCTCAGCAGGCGCAGTACCAAAGAGAGCAGACTCACCAGCACCTGGAGCAGCAGCCTCACCAGCACCCAGAGCAGGAGACGCACTAGCACCTAGAGCAGCAGCCTCACCAGCACCGAGAGCAGCAGGCTCTATACCTGGGTCAGGCGGTACGCACAGGTAACAGGTACGGTCAGCATTAGTAGGCAATGCATACATGGCAGTGAGAATAGCATCATTGTCAAGAGCAAATATATCTACCCTCTGCCCAAGCAGCTCCACCCAGTCGGGGAGCTCAGCCTCGTCGCCAAACTCGGTACGCCAGGCGTCACTCAGACGGGCGAAGCAGCGGGACTGGGTGTGACTAAGCGTCCCGCAAGTCTGACCCGTCCGATCACCTGTGCGAATGACGTACGGGCAGCGAACGGCACTCAAAGTCCCTCTACTCTGAGCGTACCACTCGTGAAGCTGCTGGGACGTAAGTGTCTCACGTGGACGCCGCTGCACCTGCAGCTGGCCACTGCCAGACGCTCCCAACTGACCAGCTCCAGGGCGACAGCTACGACGGCTACCGCCACAACCCCAACTAGCGTACCACTCACGAAGCTGCTGGGGCGTGAGAGACTCGCGCGGACGTCGCTGGAGCTGCATCTGGCCACCGCCAGTAGCAGTAGCAGTAGCCTAGCAGAGCAGGCGCGACAGGCACGCAGGCAGGCAGGCAGGCAGACAGGCAGGCAGGCTGGCAGGCAGGCAGATGGCGCGGCAGCACGCTAACAAGGCAGGTGCTCACCAGTGGCGGGAAGAGCAGGCGCTCGCCGGGCGAGCAGGGCCGACGCGCGGCGGGCGGCTGCACGGGGTCCAGGGGCGGCGTCGCGGGTCCAGGGGCGGCGTCGCGGGATCCAGGGGCGGCTGCACGGAGTCCAGGGGCGGCTGCACCAGGGGCGGCTGCTTCAGGGGCCAGGGGCGGCTGCTCTGGGTCCAGGGGCGGCTGCTCGAGGGTCCAGGGGCGGCTGCACCAGGGGCGGCTGCTTCAGGGGCCAAGGGCGGCTGCTCTGGGTCCAGGGGCAGCTGCTCTGGGTCCAGGGGCGGCTGGACCAGGGGCGGCTGCTTCAGGGGCTAGGGGCGGCTGCTCGGGGTCCAGGGGCGGCTGCTCCATGGGCGGCTGCTGCAGGGGCCAGGGGCGGCTGCTCTGGGTCCAGGGGCGGCTGCTCGAGGGTCCAGGGGCGGCTGCACCAGGGGCGGCTGCTTCAGGGGCCAGGGGCGGCTGCTCTGGGTCCAGGGGCGGCTGCTCGAGGGTCCAGGGGCGGCGTAGCTGGTGCAGGGCAGCGCGCGGGTCCCACAGGCGCCGCGACTGGCGACGGGGGGCAGCGCGCAGGCCAGGCGGGGCCGCGTCGGCGGCAGGGTGGGGCCGCGACAGCGGCAGGGCGAGGCCGCGTCGGCGGCCGTAGAAAGCAGCGCGAGGGCTGCGAAGTGACGCGCGGGGCAGGAGAAGGCAGCGCGGGGGCTGCAGGGCGGTGCGCGGGCCTGACAAGGCAGCTAGCGGGCTACGCGCGGGGCTGACGAGGCAGCAGGCGGGCTGCTAGCGGGCTGTACGAGGGCCAGCAGAGGCGAGCGCGAGGGCTGCGCGATGCAGGGCAGTGTAGGCAAGGGGCAGGGTAACTCGGTAACCAGCGGAAAACGGTTGGTGGGCCCTGAAAAAAACAGTCCTAAAACGGTCCTAAGGACCTATGTCGCTCTTAATACCATGTCGAAGGTAAAGGGAAAAGGTTGGTGCACTATCGAGAAGGTTGGGTACAAGTAACAAAAAACTATACCCTACATTAGCTACCCCACTAAAGCCTACATTCTATTATGACATAGGCATATAATTTGACAAATACAAGGTGGTTCACGACAACTCTTCATCAAACGCTTCCGCTATTACATCTCTACGTCAACACCCGATCTCAGTCCTGAAAGTTCCTAAGGGATTTTCTCAGCCCAAACTACAACATTCCTACTACAAAGAACTTAGCCTTGAAAATATCCTAAGGGCTAATTCTCAGCCCAACACTCGCTTCAGGGTAAAACTCGCTAAGAGGAACGGCAACCCTGAGGCATCAGTGTGCCTTAATCGTAAACCCTGGCATATCAGGAAAAATCTAGCTCCCAAAAAAAATACCCTAAGGCATCAGTGTGACTACCAAAAACCACCCTGATCATCAGGGTATCAGGGTGATTTACACTGATAAAATAAGCCCTTGTCTACGCCTTCAAGCTGCAACGACATACAATCAAGTTATTTACGTGTGAGTGTCTGAATTCTGGTACCTAATGTCAGAATTAATGGGCAAGAATGAGTGCATTAGCATGAGAGGGTAGTACAAGTAGTCCTAACCCTAAATGGGTTGTACTCAGTACAGTGTACCCCACTACAGCCTAAACAACATATAACATATTTTGACACCTGAATCGTGCATGCTTGCTACATCCCATGTTTGGGTACTTTTACTTGTCTATTACTGGCAGTGGGAGGTCTAGAGCAGCCAGCCTTTGCTGGTGTACTAAAGGTCCACTAATTCACACAATGTTCTGGATCTGATGAATGTTTACACATCAATTGAATCAGATTGATACTATACTTTCGTCGGTGATATCAATTTGTGGTAATACATTTCTGCTGCATTCATTGTAGCGGATGCGTCGCCTGGCCTCACTGCTTCAAGCATTGCGATTCGAATGAACAATGCGTTTTCCGACGAGGGTGAACACACGTCAAGCCTGTTATTGCCTTAGCTAGATAGTCGACCTGTCACTCGCCGAGTTGTGCGAGGGTGTAATGACCTGGTTGATCTATGCGGCATAAGCCACGCCTGAAGGTTGCTTCTTGCAGCTAACCTTATTTTTGTAACAATCACGCAGTCTGATCAGTGCTTTGAGAGAACGATGGAGTCTCTGAAAGGTGTTTTGGGTAGTAGGAGGCTGTTGGGAATCTCTTTCAACAAGTCGAAGTCCAGTAAGCACGGTGATATTCATGTTGCAAATATTACGCGACAGGTCACTAAGGACGTCCCAGTGAGGCCTCCACTATCTCTTTTGAAGGTATGAATGTTTGGCTGTGATATTGTTTTGTCTGTTGGGAAATTCTGACGTTCCCGAATTGCTGCAGGAACTCGCCGATGCTTCTTGTAACACTGATTCCTACGCTTCGATTATGGATGTGATCGCTTATCGGCTGGACAAGGGGGTGAAAAAACGAGTTCATGGTAATAATCCGGAGGATTTATAAATGGAAAAAAAAAACCATTGAAATCATGATCTGCTAATTATTGTGGCTCTTACCAGGAACAAGGTGTATAACTCATTGGTGGTTGTCGAGCACCTTATCATCTATGGAGCCGGTCACATACGGGAAGATCTTCGGAAGAAATACCTCACCATGGTTTGTTAGGCTGATTCTGTGAAAAAAATGACTGTCCTAGTAGTGATTCGAATTATTCATTTATTTCAGCTTTTTTTTTGCAGCTGGAAGTATTCTCGAAAGATTTTCGTTGTGTGGACAAGAGAGATGGCACCGACCATGGATACTCCGTTCGTGTAAAGGTACTTCAGTTGATGCTGGACATTGTTGCCTCGCGATTATGCTCTTAACGGCACCACCCTCCACAACCCCACCAACCCCCCGTTACGCAGGCCGCTGCTGTTTTGAACCTTCTTTTGTCCGAGTCTCTTGCTGACGAAGAGAGAATGAAGATGGGACACCAAGGGTCTTACTCCAGTGAAGCATCCTCAAACGCAACATCACGATCTTCGAGCAATCCTGAAGCATTTTCAAGTGGAGAGATAGGCGGGAATTCGTTTCTACATTCACTTCAAACGCTCACGATAATGTCACCGTCTGAAGCGTCCAAGGATTCTGACTTTCGGAGTCCGATCCCCGCGTTGCCACCACCACCCAGTGATACTCGACGACACAGAAGATCAGTCAGCTACCCAGACTCTTCCAACATTGATAACCGTTTTGGCGGATCGTCCTCAGAAGAACCACCTCAACTTGCTCCTGCAGAAGATGTGGATGCTGTCAGCCAACCTATCAAGGCATTCCCTCTGCCACAGCGTCAACGGTATGTTTCTATCATTAGCTAAGGAGCACCTACCTGACGAGGTTGACTGACTTTGTTTCTTTACACGGTATTTCAGTTCAAGGAGATCTAAATCGCTGGACTTCGATTGGCCAAACGAGCAGGGACCGGAACAGGCCTTTTCCACGGTTCCTGGTGTTGTGAATGGTGTGGTCGACTTGTCTGCTGCTTCAGATACCGGTACAAATACTTCTGCTCTTCCAGCTGCAGCTTTATCTGGAAAGGACCTGGGAACCCGACCTGCATCAGCAACACGCATTGGCCAGTATTCATATGGCCCGCAAGCTGTTCCTGGAAGGCTGGTGCCGTGGGCAGTGGCTCCTGGTACAGAGCAGCTTCCAGTTTGACCGGTGGCTTCATTGCAACCTGCAATATCACCCTTGGTCGCTGTATCCACACTTCCAGCCATCGAAAATTTAGGAACTCAGAACAACAATCCGTTCATGTTATGAGTAGACTGCTGCTGAAATTGGTTCTAGTCTGAGTACATCGTCATATTCGCAACTGCAATAAATACTCAAATAAGCACCCCCACTGTATTTTTGCCAGGCGATGGGGATATGAGACTGTCAAACACATTTTTATATGTTTAAGTTAGATAGGCTGTAGTGGGGTACTCACTGTGGGGTACAACCCCTTGGTTTTTTCTTTTGTACCAACACTCTCGATAGTTCAATCATCCCTTGCCTAGCCTTTCAACATGGCATCTAGAGCGTAGGTCCTTAGGACCTAGGATTAGGGCCCACCTCACCTGCCTTGCCTACTGCCCGCGCGCGGCCCTTTTTTTTTCGCCGCACGCGCCTCTTACGCAGCTCGCGCGGCCCGTTTAGGCCCCGCCCGCGCGCCACTTACGCCGCCCGAGCGCAGCCCGTTTAGGCCACGCCCGCGCAGCCCGCCGCCGCGCGCCGCCCGCAGTCGCGCGCGGCCCGCCGCCACGCGCAGCCACACAGTCGCGCGCAGCCCGTCGCCACGCGCAGCCAGGAGCCGCGCGCAGCTCGTCGCCACGCGCAGCCAGGAGCCGCACGCGGCCCGCAGCCCGCGCAGCCCGTCGCCGCACGCAGCCTGCAGCTGCGCGCGCTGCCCGCAGCCACGTGCGCAGCCTGCAGCTTAGCGCAGCAAGCCGCCTGCTGCTGCTGCCTGCTGCCTGCTGCCTGCTGCTGCTGCTGCTGCTGCTGCCTGCTACTGCCTGCTCCTGCTGCCTGCTGCCTGCCTGCTGCTGCTGCCTGCTACCTGCTGCCTGCTGCCCGCTGCCCGCAGCCGCTCCTGCCTGCCACCTGCCTGCGGCCTGCCTGCTGCCTGCCTGCTGCCTGCCTGGTGCTTGCTGCCTGCTGCCTGCCTGCTGCAGCCTGCCTGCCGCCTGCCTGCTGCCTGCCTGCTACTTACTGCCTGCTGCAGCCTGCCTGCCGCCTGCCTGCTGCCTGCCTACTGCCTGCCTTCTGCTTGCTGCCTGCTGCCGCCTGCCTGCAGCCTGCCTGCTGCCTGCCTGCTGCTTGCCTGCTGCTTGCTGCCTGCTGCTTGCCTGCTGCAGCCTGCCTGCCGCCTGCCTGCTGCCTGCCTGCTGCCTGCCTGCTACTTACTGCCTGCTGCCGCCTGCCTGCTTGCTGCCTGCTACCGCCTGCCTGCCACCTGCCTCCTACCTGGTGCCTGCTGCCTCTGTCTGCTGCCTGCTGCCTCCTGCCTCCTGCCTTCAGCCAATATGGCGACGCCCAACGTTCTCGCATTCGAGCCTGACGGTCGTCCCATCGAGTTCGCTGTGTGGTTAGACGATCTCCAGCTGTTCCTTCTGACTGATGCCAAAGAGGGCGTTTCCCTGTTTGATTACGTCTCTGGCACTGCCGTTACTCCTGCTGCTGATGCTCCTGCTCTAGAACGCTCCCAGTGGCAGACTCGTGATGCTGTTGCACGCCTAGCTATTAGGAACCACCTGCCGATTACTGAGCGAGTGCACTTCAGCCAGCACAGAACTGCTAAGACACTGTACGACGCTGTAGTTGCGCGCTACTCCTCCCCGTCCACTGCAGCCATAGGTCGACTCATGCTACCATACCTGTTCCCCGATCTTTCCTCGTTCACCACTGCTGAGGACCTAGTTTCTCACCTACGTGCTACTGACTCTCGCTTTCGTGCCGCTCTTTCAGCCGAGTTCTGCGCCGCAAACCCCCCCCCCCCCCCCCCCCCGATGTACTTCACTCTCTATTTCCTCGTCACCCGCCTCCCTGACACTCTTAGCTCTGTCAGGGACCACTTCCTAGCGCTAGACCCCACCACTCTCACTGTCGACGACTTCGAGAAGCACCTCCTCGCAGTAGAGAAGAACATCCTCGCTGTAGGTGCTGCTCGTGGCACTCCCCGCTCTCCCCTCTTTGAGGGGTGCTCCCCCTCCCCTCTCACCCCCTCCTACGCCTCCGCAGCTGCTGCTCACGACTACCTTGGTCCTGAGGAGGTCGGAGCTGCTTCCGCTCCTAGAGGGAAGCGTCGCAGCGGCAGGGGCGGCAGGGGTGGCAGGGGCGGTGGGGGTGGCGGTGGAGGTGGCGGTGGTGCAGGTGGCGGGGGAGGTGGAGGTGGTGGGGGTGGTAGTGGGGGTGGAGGTGGTGGAGGTGGTGGTGGGGGCGGCGGAGGCACTGCGAGCGGTGCAGGGGGGAGCAGCGGCGGTGGGGGAGGAGGGAGCGGTGGTGGCAGTGGTGGTCAGGGCCAGCAGCAGCCGCAGCAGCAGCAGCAGCACCAGCAGCAGCAGTGTCAGCGCCAGACCCCCACTTCCCAGCAGCTTCTTGACTGGTATGCCAGGCGTGGGGTTTCTGGGGGTCCTGGTCGCTGCCCCTATATTATCCGCACAGGTCCCCGCACTGGTCGCCAGTGCACAGGTTTTCACACTGAGCAGCGCTGCTTCGCTCGACTTAGCGACGCCTGGCGCGCCAAGTTTCCTGATGCTCCTGAGTTCCCCAGCTGGGCAGACTTGCTTAGGCGTGATGTCCCTATCTTTGATCTTGACTATGAGGAAATTCTTGCTACTATGTATGCATTGTCTGTTAGTGCTGAGGGTGACTGCTACTTGTGTGTGCCGCCGGCTCCTGGTATAGTCCCTGGTATAGCCCCTGCAACACTTGGTGCTTGTGAGTCTGCTCCCCCTGGTACAGCGCCTGCACAGGCCTTGCACACCTTTACACTTGACTCTGGTGCTTCCCGCTGTTTCTTTCGCGACAGTACCACAGTCACTCCCCTCCCTGCACCTGTTCCTGTCTCACTGGCTGACCCCTCTGGGGGCCCAGTGCTTGCACGGTCTTCCACTGTGCTTCCGTGTCCGGCGGTCCCGTCTGGTGAGCTGTCTGGTCTCCACCTCCCCTAGTTCTCTACGAACTTGGTGAGTAACGCTGTCCTCCAGGATGCGGGGGTTGACACCTTCACCCCTGGCCGGCAGCGTGTGGCGATTTGCACGTGCTCCCAGACTGGTCGCCACCTGGCCACGTTCACTCGTCGCGCTCCGCCCCTTTGTCTCCCCAGTTGCACGCGTCTGCTCAGGTTGCTACACAGTGTGAGTGTCGCCGGCTGTCGCACGACACTCTCCTGTGGCACCACCGCCTTGGTCACCCCTCCCTGCCTCGCCTTCGTAGCATGCATTCTCGCTTCCTTGTTTCTGGTCTTCCCAGGTCTCTGCCTGCCCTCCCTCCCTCGCCTGCGCCGCCCTGCATTCCTTGCGTCGAGGGGCGGCAGCGCGCCGCTCCTCACTCCTCCTCGTTCCCTCCCACAGAGGCTCCACTGCAGACTCTCCACCTGGACGTGTGGGGCCTAGCCCGCGTCCGTGGACAGGGCCACGAGCGGTACTTCCTGCTGGTTGTCGACGACTACACGCGCTACACCACGGTCTTCCCCTTGCAGCGCAAGGGGGATGTCCCTGCTGTTTTGATCCCCTGGATCCGCGCTACTCGTCTCCAGCTCTGCGAGCGGTTCCAGACGGACTTTCCTGTCCTGCGTCTGCACTCTGACCGAGGTGGTGAGTTCTCATCAGACCTCTTGGCAGCCTTCTGTGCGGAGCACGGCATCCGCCAGACTTTCACGCTTCCGGCCTCTCCACAGCACAATGTGGTTGCTGAGCGCCGCATTGGCTTAGTCATGGAGGTCGCTCGTACCTCCATGATCCATGCGGCTGCCCCCCATTTTCTGTGGCCGTTTGCGGTCCGGTACGCCGCGCATCAGCTCAACCTTTGGCCCCGTGTCTCCTTGCCGGAGACCTTGCCCACACTGCTGTGGACGGGGAAGGTTGGCGACGCGTCGCGTTTCCGAGTCTGGGGTGCTCGTGCCTTTGTCCGCGATACCGCTGCGGACAAGCTCTCCCCTCGCGCCATTCCTTGTGTCTTCCTTGGCTTTGTCTCTGACGCGCCTGGCTGGCAGTTTACGACCCCGCCTCGCGCCGTGTCTTTGCGTCTCAGGACGTCACCTTTGACGAGTCGGTCCCCTTTTACCGCCTCTTCCCCTACCGCACTGCTCCTCCCCCCCCCCCGCCGCTCTTTCTTGCCCCTGGTCCTCCCCAGGTAGACCCCCTCCCCGCGCCAGGTCCTGCTCCTTCAGGTGTCTCTCAGGTAGACCCCCCCGCGCCTGCGCCTGTTGAGGTCACTGGTGACTCAGGTCCTGCTGCTAGTGGTGCTGTCCCTGGGGGTGCGGAGCTTGGGGGTGCTGAGTCTGGGGGCGCTGAGCGTGTGGAGCCTGGAGGTGCTGAGCCTACGCGTGAGGAGCCTGGAGGTGCTGCGTCTGGGGGTGCTCCGTCTGGAGGTGCTGCGTCTGGGGGTGCTGAGCCTGCGTGTGCGGAGCCTGGGGGTGCTGAGTCTGGGGGTGAGTCGCCTGAGGGTTCTGAGACTGCTGTTACGCGGTCTCCCTGGAGTAGCCGTCTTCGTCCGCGTGTGCCCCTCACCTCCTAGCAGCTGCACGACTGGTACGGTCGCCGTCAGCGTCGCACTTCTGCACCTCTGGGCTCTACTGCTGGGGGTTCT